AGAAAACCACAGTTAAATATTTTTCACCCAGAGAAAGTATAAAATAAAACTCTCAAAACAACTCACAAAAGAAAACAAAACAAAAAAAATTACATATTTAGAATTTCCTTTTTCTTTCTTTCTTTTTGTTTGAATGGAAAAATTACTTTATTTAATTTGGGTGAGTGGGTAGGCGCCCAATTTCAGAACTTCTGGAATTGCATCCTGTAGCCAACAGTCTTGGTGTGCTGGAGAATGTTAATGCACATGTGGGGGGTGGGGATGGCACTGGCCCTCAGTGTTAACGTCTCTGATCTAGATGTTCTTGAGTCAGGAGAGAAGGTGAACAGAAACGTCCTTCTGGTACTTCTTATAGGAATAGTTCTTGCTGGATATTGTGGGAATAGTAATCATTTTCTGTGTCTCGACTTGCTAAAATACCTCAGGAGTTGGGACAGAGCACGTGTCATATTCCACAGAAATGGAGGTAAAAGGTTAACCCAGAGCATGAAGAAAATCAGAAGCTCTGGGTGGCAATCCCAGGAAGTTCTGTGTTTGCCATTAGCTCTTCCAAGTGGCTTTCTCAGCAGTGCCCATGACAGGCATCTGAAGACCTTAATGAAAACAGATGGCATCCGCTAGAATTTTAGAATATACTTTATCCACAGGATACTAAAACTAGGTGTCAACAGCACAAGTTAAGTAGGGCTTTGTTTCATTTTTCTCATTTTACTACCCACTGAAACTGGAAAATGAAGGAAATGGATAAAAAGAGCAAATTAGTGAAACAGGGCTCAATGTAGGAGATTAAACCTTGAATTAAATGATAGCTTTTATTTAAAAAAATATTTGAGTGGATTTAATTTTTACCACCTATGAATGACAATAATACTATTAGATTTACAATAAAGATTATTCCAGGAAAGGATAAACTAGCTAAGAGAATATTAATAAACAAATAATTCTTAAGTTAGACCATATTGAAATTATCTCTATAAAAAAACACTATGTTTGTATGCCAAAGTGCAGAAAGCAATTGGTTTCTTGATAAAGTGAAATTTAAATTATTTTTATGCTATTTTTTGTTCACCTGCAGCACCTCCACTGCATTGTAAAGTGCCTTAAACGTAGTAGTACATTACCTAGTATTGAATCAGCTTGAACAGACTATGAAGGGTTGGCTTACTCCTATTAATCCAAGAAACTTTTCAAATAAAACTCCTTATTGTAAGTTGGATTTGGTGATTTAAACTATAGCCAAATTTATTTTTTTAAAGAGAGAGAGAGAGAGAGAGAGAATTTTTTTAATATTTATTTTTTAGTTTTCGGTGGACACAACATCTTTATTTTATTTTTATGTGGTGCTAAGGATAAAACCTAGCACCCCGCGCATGCCAGGTGAGCACCTTACCGCTTGAGCCACATCCCCAGCCCAACCAAATTTCTTTAAAGAAGAAATTTATACAAAACCCATCCCATAAAATTTTAAGACAACTGGATTATTTGAGCAAAATAGAGAAAAACTAATTTAATTCCAAATAATTTCTTCATATCTTTTCTGGAAAAAAATCCCATTTAAGATTCTATAGAACATATAAATCTATTTGCCAGGATTTATTATGGATAATTGGAGAAAAGCACTTTGAATGATTCCCTAGAACTGAGACAGGGACAAAGGACAGGTAGTCAGTGTAGATAATACATAACTGGATTGAAAAGATGGGGACTAATCTTCAAAGAAAAGGAAATGGGTTGCTAACAGCTAACCTCAGAATAGTACTACCTCCCACCCCTGAATAACACAACAGGTTGCTAACACCTCTGGGGGAGGGGAAGGATCCTCACACATTCCCACTCATGCAATTACCCCCTGGGGCTACTCTTGACTGTCTCTTCTCACATCCCCAGGAAAGAAAGGAGGTGGGGGTCTATAAAAAAGCAAAACACCTCCACTCCCACAGGCTCTGGGTTCCCTGGACCTTCTCTCAGGAGAAGTCAGTCTAGGTCTCTGTTCTGTCTCAAGATAAAACTTGTTTTTTATTCTTGCCTCAGCGTTTTTCAATGGGGTGGGGCGGTGGATCCT